GATATATTGATGCATTGGGTATTTTTAATTTTTTTATAAAAAATAATATTAATATTTTTTGTCCGCTGTGACGGAGCATTTTCACAGTTCACATTTGCAACTGCTCCGTCACAGCGGACAAAAAAATTAAACATTATTTTTTATAAAAGAATTAAAAAGACCAAATACATCAACATCTCATTTATACCTTCATAGTTATGCTGAAACCATGTGTAAATATTATCGTGTCACTATATCGTGCCATTAGAAAGTTAAACAAGAAAGTGTACATTTTGAAGTATGATACTCCAGCGCCATTTTCAATAGCTTTTCTTCCCAGCGTAATTGGACTTCAAACAGAAGTGAAAGTTACCCGCAAATGATATATCCATTGCATGGAGTAAGTAATTTTGTATGGTATAACGAAAGATATGAGTTAAAAAATAAATCGTGAAGTATTCCTAGTGTTTTTATGAAAAATAGCATGCTCCGTCACAGCGGACAAATATTTCGATACCAGCCTGTGATTTTTAAGCAACGTCAGACCCTAACACACTTACGCCATAAATCAAAAACCAATAATAATGCCGCATTTTAGCGTTATAGTTATAGTCTCGTATTCATGGTAACGAATAATACGGTAACACTGATTTCGAACGTGTGGTTAATTGGACTTTTTGCTTATTGCAAGAGGGCTACACAAACTCCAAGTAGTTGATTTATATTGTTTGTTTGACATAATTTTATGGAAAGAGTAAAAGCTTATGCCAAGTGGTCTAACACGTTTTTCTGATGGTAACGAACATTTTTTTCTTAAAACGAACTCAAGGCACTGGCTTGTTTTTGAGAAAAAATGCAGACACACCTCGGACTTAACGCATGTTCTCTATTGAAAACGTAAACAATCTTTCAAAATTACATTTTCTTTCATTTCTTATCTCAATTCCAGACTCATATAATTGGAATGAGTGAACCAAGTAACGATGATTTTTCTGAATTTTCTGAAACTGGCGACACCCCTTCGAAAGGCTGTACAAAACGTTAAAGTGCGTCAGAACTCATGTTTCTGTAACTACTGGTGTTTTGAGAATCATTGAATTATATGATTTCATTTTCATCAATATTATCAAAAGAAATTGTTGAATCGTATGTATGTATATAATATTATTAAAACATTCACTTTGTCAAGCTTGTAAATCCTTCAAAAATCTTGATTTTTATCTATTTTGGGGGGATTTTGTTTTAATTTTTTGAATACTTTTTTAAAATCAACCAAAAATTCCTTTGTATAACTATAATATTGAGAGGTCTAAAAACATGTTGTTTATGCTATTTTGTTCCAACAAGGTTCGGAAAGACATTTTATTTCATTCTCAAGAATTGGTTGAAAGGGGCAAAAACAATTGCACTAAAAAAACAAAAAAAATGTTAACAAAACAGTTATTTCTAAATAATTTTAACATTAAATTGTTGTCAATCAGTCAACATTACATAAACTACCGTGTTTTCTTATGGAATGTTTTCAATGATTGGTTTAAGAGAAAAACATTGTTGAATTCAGTTCTCCATATCGATACCAATCCTTTGCAAGCAAATTATTCAAAAGACGTGATGATGGGATAAAAAGAATAACTTGATATTTGAATAAGTATTAATTATATAATGGACGAACGGACGGATGAACATGTGGCTTCTCGTAATTCAACAGGGATAAAACCCGGAATTCAGAAAAAATAAGCCCGGAAAACACGGAAATGAAATATACTATCAATAACGAAAATATTTCCAAATCCGTGCAAACATATTTGTAAAGACCCTTTTTAAATTTTACAGTATACTTGTACGTCGAGTAAGGTAACTTTGTAAATTTCTATGTTGAAGCTTTTTTGTTTTAGCAGTCTGTAACCATAAAAACAGTCATCGTCCTCCTTTGGCCATGATCAACGAACAACGCGTTCGATTGGAATACGTCTAAGTTGAAGATACAAGAATGGAAAATTCGAACAGACATTTATAATTGGTGATAGTTGCTGGAATTACACCACAAAATCCGCTAAAACGTTTTAGTGGAAGGCGCTTTACAAAATCGCCATTCTGATTACACCAACATTTCTAAAGCATCTTAGGAATTATATTTTGGAATTACACCTGTTTTTACAAAAAAACGCATTTCGTGCACTTTAAACGATGTAGTTATGGATAATATCCAGCATACATGTATGTGTACATCCCCTGTAAATGTATTCTTTTTGCATCTAAGACAAAACTGATCTTCCATAATTTTTATTTATCTTTTAATCATGAATTATGAGAAAAAATAATAAAAAGGTAAAAGAAAAATATGTACATATTCTCTGAAGATAACACTTGCCCAAATGTCAAGCATTCTCTCCGTGTCTGTATCATTCCAATAAAATCGAGACATTTCAATAGACTTGAACGAATTCTGATATAATATACTTTATAAATCTAAGAATTTTCACTTTCACTTTTCCGGAAATGAGGTCTTATTTCGTTTAGGGCAAATTTTGAAAACTAGTAAAAACCCGGGTAAGGCGTCTAACAAAAACCGATCGGTATTACACTGCACGCTTAAAGCGCCCAACGACTTATGCCGTTTACTTGTGACAAGGGTTCTTTGAGTTTTAAAAAAGCGCTTTTGTAAAACCGCAATCGTGATTACACCTAATCCTTAAACCTGGTTAAAACCGAAGAAGCTTTTGTAAAACGCCATGTGTAATTCCAGCAACTGTGTGTGTTTATAATTAGACGATTTGAACTTCCCGCCAGATTACACTTTAAACTTGTGTTCGCTACTTTGAACTTGTGTTCTATTGTTTTGCGTTTGCTTTGCGTCTGCCATTGCGCTCAACTGATAATATCACGCAAATCAAGCGTTGCGTTTTGCGACCGATGTCGCAGCGCAGTGGCAACGCAGAAAGTTTGCGACCAACTGATAATGAGGCCTCGGAACAACATCCATTTGGGATAGTTATAGAGATACTGATAAATGTTTATGTAAGTCGACATGCATAATGTACTTCCAAAACAAACATTATATATTGATAGGATATATTTCAGGTTTTTGGGAATACTTAGAAATAAGACATGTACAGTAGGTATTTTAATCAGATTAAATTTATTGGCCAATTGATAACTATAGCAATCGTCACTTTTGGCTTTTAATAATGATCCACCAATGTTAGCCTCATTGAAGCAGAAATTAACAATGTTACAATTTGTCTAAATGAATTTAATACACCAGTTTTTTTTCTTCATCGTATTATATTTCCTTACCGACAATTTTAAGAAATAAAATACATAAAGTAATACAGTAATATATGTTATTGTTGCTTTGCATTGTTCTAGCAATAATGTTTTCTGGGACTTCAAAACATATATAATACTTATTCCAAGACATCTTCCAAACCTTTATATTTACCCATCTTGCTGCTTGCTATTATATTTATACTATGGGCCTGGAATGAAAATCTGAATATCAAGTCATCTTTCCTTTATTCAACAAAGTGATTTTCATTTGAAAACTCATGTTTTTGGCAGTCTGAAGTAATATTGTCTTGAAAAAAATATTATGGAGTTTTTGTGCAATATTTTTGGTAGTCAAAATATATATACCTTAAACAGCATATCAATACTCGTCAATTTTGCTTTGAATCAGTAAATAGTAAAATATATAACATATTATAAGATCAAAATTCTTGAAAGACACTTAATAAGTGACAAATATTGGGTATTATGGATGCTACATTTCAAAATGTAGCATCCGCAATTACCTTTATCAGTGATTATATTTTATTAGAAAAACAAACTTATATTGAATCTTTCCATAAGCATTTTGGTCGATGCATCATATAATCATAACACAAAATATGGTTAAAATCGTCCATAGTATCTTATTGCACTTAAAAGTTAAATTACGGTAGCTACAAAAATGTGTATTAATTCCTTTGTCTTCCTTAGTTCTCAAGAATAGCAATGACGATATGTAAGGCTATGTACACTGTTTGTGATATTTTTTATTACTCATTACTATTATTTGGTTTCATAAAATCACAAAAATAAGTAGAACTAATGATTTTTTTTATCTATTAAAGGCAGAAACAAGATAATAGATGGATCAAAAATCAATAACGAAGGTATGGTTACTGTATCTAAAATTGTCATAACCTTTTTGAAAAAACTGTGGCCAATGTTGTGACGCATGTTGAAAAAAGACCTTTTTGACTTTGAGAAGGTCATTGAAGGTCAAATCTCAAATCTGAAGTCAGATTTGAACTTCAGAGAATTTGTACATGATTATGAAGAAAAATTGGTCGAACTGAAGCAAGTTGACAAAATACGTTTTCTCCTTTTTTAACCTTAAGAAGGCTGTTGAAGGTGATATCTCAAATCTTAAGTCATATTTGAAATTACGAGAACTTGTAGATGATTTTTAAGAAAAGTTTGTCGAATTGAAGCAAGATGATAAAAGGCCTTTTTGACCTTGAGAAGGTCATTGAAGGATAATTTTCAAATCTTAAGTCATTCTTTAATGTAACTTGTAGATGATTCTGAAAGAAATTGAAGTCAGTCTTAATAGTATTTGTTATTTGATTATTTTACTAGCAAATTATAATGACTATCAAAAATACCTGCAGAGATAGGGTTAACTGGCTATAATAATGGCAATGGTCAGGTTTTGAAAGGTTATAGCCCTTTAGTCTATATGAACATCCACATTTCAAAATTTACTCATCTTTTAATAAATGAAATAATATCAGCTAAAATACTTGACATGAATCTTTTTGCACTGCATTTACTCAAAAAGTACAAAACATTCTAAAAATCAAAAGCAACGAACTTATGTTCCAGAAAAACTAAAAAAAAGCGACTAAGTACTAGACAATGTATGACAGTGACTAAGTTTTCCAATATGGGCCTAGGTCTTACAATGGGTGACCAAACCTTACAATAGGTGATCAGAGGCCTCATTATCTGGTCGACACACCGCAAATCGCAATGTAAATATTTAGCGAGTGGCAAGCAAGTCGGTATTATTCAGTCATCTCAAAGGGAAACCAGCCCAAATGCATTGCCGTTTTGCTTGTTTCACGCAAATATAAGTTTTCTTATTACCTGGAAGACGCATTGTTATTTTCACTTCGCATTGCAAATATTACTGCTAATCTCACGCAAATTCGTATTATTCAGTCATCGCACAAAAAATTGGAGGCACAAATAACCAAAACATATCTAAATCAAATCTGAAAATGCACGATTATGCCACTTTGGTTTTGTGAAATCTAGAATAAATATCGCGACTGTATTTCGCAAATGTAACCTTATGAGTTTTTTAGTGTTGATCAAGCTTATTTTAGAAATTGAATGAGTTTTTTTGAATGGAAGGTATATGCCGACTATCTCAATCCACTGTTTTGAACAATAATGCAGATGAGGTGTCAGCAGATCATTCAAAGTAAGGTGTATGACACATATACTTTTAACACTAGATCGTAGTTACAAGTTTGGTGCTCGAAATATAAACCCATGTGTCATTGGGGATATTACATTTTTGTGTTCTATTTAAACCAGTATCATTTACAGTTCTAAAACAGGTTAAGACTCTAGGGTCTGGTTTGTAATCTGCCATCATAAAATGGATTAATAAAAACAGGTGGTACAGTCCTAAACATGTGATGGTTTTACAATATGCGTTCTATTTTCTTTCAATAATAGTACAATAACGTCATTTATAAGGGCAATATAGTGAAATCTCGGCACTCGGTCCAATATTTCACTATATTGCTCGCAGAAATGACGTTATTAGTATTATTACTACCGTTAAAGACCAGGGCTGAAATAGCAAGAAAATCTTACGCACTGAACGATATCTAATTTCCCGGGGAAGATTTGCCGGTCCAGAATATATTCTAGACTGGTCCATATGGACCACCACTATGACGTCACACATTTCTCAGGTCGATATAGTAAAATATCGACCTGAGAAATGTGTGACGTCATAGTGGTGGTCCATATGGACCGGTCTAGAATATATTCTGGACCGGCAATTTTCCCCGGGAAATTAGATATCGTTCAATGCGTAAGATTTTCTTGCTGTTTCAGTCCTGGTCATTAACGGTGGTAATAATACTAATAACGTCATTTCTGCAGCAATATTGTGAAATATTGGACCTTGGCCCTTCGGCCCTCGGTCCAATATTTCACTATATTGCCCTTAGATATGACGTTATTGTACTATTGTTCTATAAGAATGGTTACCATTCTTATTATTTGGGAGAATTTAAACATTTTTCACTCATTTTTGCACTTTGAATCTGTTATAACTTCACCAATTTATAATATATCATAAATCTTATAGGGGATATTGTATTTGAGATTGTAGGGAATAGATTGGTAGGTCAATTGTACAGGATGGTCCAAAAAAATGGGACACTCGTATTTCAAAAATAAATATTGATTTTCTTGATGAAAACAAGTCATATTATATACCAATGGATAGGGAATTTACTCATCTTTAATTTGGCATATGATAAGTTCAAATTTATTATAATATCTGTCAACCAGCGTCCATAATATAAATGACGTCATTTTCGTTTCAAAACGGGGTTTCCAAAACTTGCAAAAACCAAGTTTTATTGTCAACTTTATTTACATAAACAGACATTCAATATGTCCATCATTTTGATCAATTGTAGCCCTCAATTTTGGCCTAAACTGGTCAATAGCATAATTGATATGCTGTTGAGACAATGAATTTCACTTCTCAATAATTCTGTCCTTTAAGAGACTGAATACATGTAAAGGATTTATGGTACACTAATTCTGTAAGTTCTCCCCATATGTGATAGTCGCAGACGTTGGGTGATCGGGTGATCTTGGGAGGAAGTGATTAAGCGGGGATGAATCTAGGCACATTTTCTTTTATACTTAGAGCCCCATCTTGTTGGAAAATGTAATGATTCGAAAATGAGCTCGTATCACGATGGTCCAAAAACAACATAATTAGATCATCTGATATCAACGTCTGCAACGACCACTTATTGGGAGAACTAACAGAATTGATTTATCATGAACCCCTTACATCTACTCAGTCCCTTATTAAGGACAGAATTGTTGAGAAGTGAAATTCATTGTCTCAACAGCATATCAATGATACTATTGACCAGTTTAGGCCAAAATTGAGGACTCCAATTGACCTAAACGGTGGACATATTGAATATCTGTTTATTTAAATAAAGTTGACAAAAAACTTGGTTTTTGCAAGTTTTGTAAAACATGTTTTGAAATGAAAATGACATTGTTTATATTATGGACGCTGGTTGAGAGACATTATAATTAATTTGTACTTATGATATACCAAATTAAAGATAAGTGAATTCCCTATCCAATGGTATATAATATGTCATGTCATCAAGAAAATCAATATTTATTTTTGAAATACGAGTGTCCCATTTTTTTGGGCCAACCTGTACATGTTGCTTGTAATTTTGTCACCCCCTATAGATCAGATTCTGCCCTTAATTAATAATTCAAATTTTGACAATTTGCATTCTATTTGGTATTTCGTACTTCAATTCGTTCAATTGATTATCTCTTTCAGCTAGAAGTTGAAAATTCCCACATTTCCAAATTATTTGTGATCTTCATTTAAGTGCCATTAGCATACTTTTGCGTTTGTGTGAAGAGCGTAAAACAACGCAAAAAAATATTTGCGAATAATGTAAATTCGCAAGAGCAACGCTAATTTAGCGCTGACCAGATAATGAGGCCTCAGGCCTTCCGATATGGGCCTAGGTCTTACAATGGGTGACTACACAGCCCATCTGCAACAGAACCGTACAGTACCGTATGATATGATACTGTATGGTACCGCAGACTAAAATGATACAGTACGGTACCCTGAACACTAAACAACACCATACTCCAACGGTACCTTATGGTACCTGGATACTCTTTATGTACCATATGGTACCGTGATTTTACAGTGCGGGCCTTACAATGGATGCTACCTAGGTCTTAAAATAGGTACCTAGGCCTTACAAAAGGTGACTACGCCTGATATAATAGTTGACTAATCCAATTAAAGAAGATTAAATGAATAAGAAACTGTCTTGTCCATCTATTATCTCATCGTGTTACTGGATTTTCCATTTTGACGCCATTTATTTTGTTCAAATAGCTCATCTTGTTCGTCATCAGTAAAATCATCTTCAAATTGCTCATCGTCAATCAAAGATGAATACCTTATGTTGTACAACACAGGTTTGTGTCTTGGAGCATGCCAACACTTCTTTGCATACATCAACAGAACAAATAGAATTGCGATGAGGCATGCTCCTGCAAAACATACCCCTAATAAAGCTCCAGGACTGAGAGATTGTCCAATGCCTAAAAAGCCATTAGGGTCATTTTTATGTCCCACGGGGGGTATATTGAATGTTAATAACCACAGGTCATTTAATATACTATCTTGATTGTTTTTATCATGCCCCTCTCCTCCAAACATATAGAATGTGTTCTTGTGTGACCATGTGACAGCCTGCCAGCGAGGCCCAGGTATATGCTGGTGGGACTTACTCCGCAGTTTCCCATAGAAGGCCTCCTGTTCTCCTATATCTGGCCCCCCTAGCCAGACCCAAACTCTCTGTTGAATATCAAACACCCAGAGGTCAGAGAGAAGTTTTCCTGATTGGCTGGGGGTGGTTTTAGTTTCTTTATCTTGGCCACCTCCCCCAAACATCCATAAATCGCCGTGAGTGTCAATCCATGTAGCACTATGCTTTCTGCTCCCTGGGATGTTAGATTGATCAGGTATACCTAGGGATCCATACACTCCTGGCTTGTGTCTAACACTGTCACCATGTAGTAACTGCCAGGAGTTTGTCTCTACTGTGAACTGCCAGAGATCCGACATGAAGCCTTTAGACAGGTGACTGTCTCTCGTCTCTAGTGAATTACCTCCAAATAAATACAAGTTCATTGTTTCATTTTTGGCACTCCATGTTGCTCCCCCATCTCTACTGCCAGGGGAGGGGCTTGGGTTATTTAGCAGCGTCCACTGAAGGTCTTTCAATGAAAGTGACCACATGTCAGATAATATGTCCCCTTTCACATTTCTGCCACCATATATAATCAGTCTATCCTTTAGACACCAATACGCAGCTGCCCCTCTAGGTGGAACAATTCTAGATTGATTTATCAAGGGAACCCATTCTTGCTTTTTCATGTAAAACACCCAGGCATCACCAAAATGTGCATTATCATCCATGCCTCCAAATATGAAGAAGAACAAGCCAGGTACACCACAAGATGAGGCTAACATTCTTCCCTCTGGCTTGGGAGAACCAACATCAAACTCAACTAAACTCCACTTCATTGTTTCATTCTCCATTTTCCACAAATCATTTATTGCACCTGATCGACCATTTGGTCCTTTCCCACCAAATAGCCAGAGTTCCTTCCCAGAATTCCATACTGTAGCACCCTGTCGGGAACCAGGATATTGCTGGGTTTTTATTGGATCACTGTCAATAATTTGGGTAGAATATTGTCCTCCTTCAGCACTGCCATCCCTCCATTCCCACTCTGAAACAACATAAAATGCAGGATTTATCTTAATGTTATCTGTTCACAGTATTAAATGTAGTATGGGTCTGGTTCCACTAGTGTTAGACTTCCTGACTTTATGTTCCAGAGCCATTATTCAAGATTACCAGAATGATGTTGTATATGTACATAGTTCAACTGAACAACAATGAATTAAAGACATAATCAGTTTATTTAGAATAATGGACACTGGGATACTCTGATAGGCCGCTATTCAACACTCACAAGACTTTAAGTGTTGGAACTAGGTAAAGTTGTTGAAAAGTGACTGCACTTCAGGTTTACAATAGAGATCAAATTGATGGTGTTCATTGTGCATTGCGCACTGGACAGCTGAATAATAGTGACTTTTAAACACGAATTAAGGCTCAGCTGGAAAATAACATTTTGGTAAAAAATTGCTATACCTGCACATGCTATTTTCTGGTACAAACATTTACGAAAATGTAAGAGCAAAAAGCAGCATATTGGAAATGGGCAGAACATTCACTCGACTAACAATTACAAGTCTTGATCTAAAAGGAAGTACTTCAGCGCTCTAATACTTGCAAGGATGGATGATACTGATGTAGGAGACAGTAAGAGAACACAAGGCATTAACATGACAAAATGTCACCACCTAAAACAATTTGGTCAATTTAAAGCAAGTTGAAAAAATACCTCTTTGACTTTTTTTGACATTGAGAAGGTCATTGAAGGTCAAATGTCAAATGTAAAGTCAGATTTGAACTTCTGAGAACATGTAGATGATTTTGAAAAAAAAATTAAGTAAATTTGAAGCAAGTTGGAAAAAGACCTTTTTGACCTTGAAAAAGGTCATTGAAGGTCAAATGTCAAATCTAAAGTAAGATTTGAACTTCTGAGAACATGTAGATGATTTTGAAAAAAAATTAGTCAATTTGAAGCAAGTTTGAAAAAGTCCTTTTTGACCTTGAGAAGGTCATTGAAGGTCAAAGGTCAAATCTAAAGTCAGATTTGAACTTCTGAGAACTTGTTAAGTCAAATTTGAACTTCTGAAAAGATGTAGATGATTTTGAAAAAAAAATTTGGTCAATTTGAAGCAAGTTGAAAACAGACCTTTTTTGACCTTGAGAAGGTCATTAAAGGTCAAATGTCAAATCTAAAGTCAGATTTGAATTTCTGAGAACATGTAGATGATTTTGAAAAAAAAATTAGTCAATTTGAAGCAAGTTGAAAAAAGACCTTTTTGACCTTTTTGACTTTGAGAAGGTCATTGAAGGTCAAATGTCAAATCTTAAGTCAAATCTAAAGTCAGATTTGAATTTCTGAGAACACGTAGATGATTTTGAAAATTTTTTTTAGTCAATTTGAAGCAAGTTGAAAACAGACCTTTTTGACCTTTTTTGACCTTGAGAAGGTCATTGAAGGTCAAATGTCAAATCTAAAGTCAGATTTGAAGGTCAAATGTCAAATCTAAGGTCAGATTTGAATTTCTGAGAACATGTAGATGATTTTGAAAAAAAAATTAGTCAATGTGAAGCAAGTTGAAAAAAGACCTTTTTGACCTTGAGAAGGTCATTGAAGGTCAAGTGTCAAATCTAAAGTCAAATCTAAAGTCATATTTGAATTTCTGAGAACATGTAGATGATTTTGAAAAAAGATTTAGTCAATTTGAAGCAAGATGAAAAAATACCTTTTTGACCTTTTTTGACATTGAGAAGGTCATTGAAGGTCAAATGTAAAATCTAAAGTCAGATTTGAATTTCTGAGAACATGTAGATGATTTTGAAAAAAAAATTTAGTCAATTTGAAGCAAGTTGAAAAAAGACCTTTTTGACCTTTTTTGACTTTGAGAAGGTCATTGAAGGTCAAATGTCAAATCTAAAGTCAGATTTGAATTTCTGAGAACACGTAGATGATTTTGAAAATTTGTTTTAGTCAATTTGAAGCAAGTTGAAAACAGACCTTTTTGACCTTTTTGACCTTGAGAAGGTCATTGAAGGTCAAATGTCAAATCTAAAGTCAGATTTGAACTTCTGAGAACATGTAGATGATTTAGAAAAAAAATTGAAGTCAATCTAAACAGTATTTGTTAAGTTATAGGAAGTTGTAAGAAATTGTTACAGACGCCGGACGCCAACCTCCAACCACCAACCGCCGGACGCCAACCTCCAACCGCCGTCGCAAAAAAATGGAGACCATAACAATATGTCACCACTTTTGGTGGTGGTGACATAAAAAGTAAGTGGCTGATCACATTTATTCGTGTTTTAAAGGTCACTATTATTCAGCTGTCCATAGCTCCGTGGGAGAGCTATATAAGTTTCAAAATCTACAACATGGCGTGTTGTACTAAATACCACCTAGGTGCCCCACACCTAGATGTCCCCATGGGCTTTCAATTCAGTCGAAATGTTGAGACATGCGCAGACCTCTATTTAATGATATTTTCATTTCAAATATGGCGGCCAATCCGATGTCTGACGACCCTTACAAAGAATCTAGGCAGTTTGCATTTTTACCTCCTGTGAAATAACAAGTGGAATTTAGTCGTTGTTTTGTGTTTTATTATCATTCTGCATCGTAATTCTATGTGATGTGGTGTTGAAATGTCAGCAGAAATACATATCCACACGATAATCGAGTGAATCAGATAACAGATTTTTCGAAAACCCGTCTCGTGCTAAGAGTGTAAAAACTTGTATTAACATGCTCAAAAGTGCCAATGAGCACATCAATGTCAAGCTAAATCAATGTTGTGTCTAAAACAGGTACCTGATCTACTCAAAACAGCTTGTCATTCACGTATACACGCTTAGCAAACACCGCGAAATGATCTGAATCTTGGAATTTCGTTCGAGAGCTAGTAATGTTTGCTCCGGTCTTCGTCATAAGTGTCATCAGACTTCACGCATGCTCAGGAGAAAAACCATCAACCAATAACGTTTTATAAATCAATTTTGCGCATGCGCCTTACAACGGAAAAGAAATTCTCATTTATAAACGAACCAATTTGAGATAACCCGATATCAGTCGGAGAAACTGACGATCTACGAAACTCACTTCAAAAAATCAAATGCGGACTGACGGCGTATTCTACTATGTTTGGATCTAAGATTTTCAGTATAGATAAAGTCTTTTATGATCTTTCGAATGAGGTAAGTCTCTAGTTCGAAAGACAATCGTATCAACTTGAACAAAAGTTGAGTTTTGACGAAAAATTTTAACATGCGCAGAAGTCCCATTTTCGTTGTACCATATTGACTGAATTAGACTAGTTGAAAGCCCATGGTGTCCCCATTGAAATGCCTTGCTGGCATATTTTACTACTTTATTTCAAGCTAACATTTTTCTAAATGTTAATATATTACATAATAAAGTATTTCTATGGAACTTGTGTGAATATTTCTGTTTGTTTATGATATTTTTAAGCTTAATTTTCTTGAAAATTTTGATTAATGTTGAAAAAGTCATTTGTTAGGATAATATTTCATTATTTCTCACTATAAAATGCTACAAATTCACTATTTTAGTAACTTAAGTAAGAACAATATATATATTTCAAATATAAAAGCACATTTGAACATAAACAGTGTTTTATTACTACAAATAAGTGACCAAACATATGAGCAAAATTCCAGGTGCCCATTTTTCTAACAATAAAACTTTTTACATTCTATTTTCGAATCTTCTTTGCAATATTCTAGACTACAAATTTTTATTTCAAATCTATTATATGTCAAGTTAATATCGTAAAGATAATAATATTATATTTAAAATATGTATGTGGTTCAAAATGGAATTATAAATTCAGGTGCCCAAGGGGACACCTTACTATATTTGCACATAGCCATCTTTAGATCATGATTGTTGTTGTTGGTATCCTTATGGTGCTTTTATGTCACCTAATAGTCTCCCTGTGCTGGTTTACCACTAGGTTGCTATATCTCTTTGTACTCAAAGTTCAATAACACTTAATTATTCTTAAAATCTTCCAGTGTTCTTAATAAAACTCATGAAGCTAGTCTTTATCCGTTTGTTTAAGTCTGGCTTAAAGGTATATTCCTTCCCAAACCATCTCTCTCTTAATATGGTACCTATAACCACATATTTATTTTCCATATTTAGCAAAACACGGAAAAATGTTTTGATATGATCAAAATTGATCGATTAAAAATGGAGTGCTCAATTCCAGTAGGCTGCCATCTTTTAAGTGATGTCATCGACTCTCAACTTTGCATATAGCATTAAGAATAACAAAACCATCTGAATGTTCTTTTTGAATTTTTTCTATGATTTAATCCTTCTTAAAGTATCTTCTTTTACTCTAAGCTGACAAGATCTGAAAATATATTTGCACATAATGTAAGAACCACTTGTCTAGAAGTGATTTTGTGTTACTTTCCTATACTGTTATAGGTGAGGTTATGAAAGTTGGGAGTTGATGACATCACTTCCTGAATGAAATCTTAAAAGATGGCAGCTTACTGGAAATGAGCACCACATTTTTAAATGATCAATATAGAGTATATTAAAACAATTGCCCATGTTTTGCTAAATATTGAAGGTATATAATGATTATAGCTATCATATCAGTATAAAAATGGTCTTGCCAGGAATGTCCATTTAAAGTCTCTGTGAAACCCTGCTAAAAGTCTGAGGTCTATGCTTGGTTTTCCTGTATAGCCTAGTAGTATAGTATCTATCTCATGAAGCAGTTTATTCCTGTCTCACTCGAAGAGCTTGCACTCAAAAATGTAATGATGAACAGTCTCCGGTTTGTCACAGGCTTCACAATGTTTGCTAGAGATATTAGGGTAAATTTTCGCCTGATGGTCTCTGGGTTTAGTGTGGCCAGTGATGAGTTGATTTAACAGACAGAAGTATTTCCTATCATGTTCACTCAAGTTCTGTTGGAGGCCAATATGTTAAATCACTTCCTGGGTTTTCTTGGCCTTAGATGAATGATCATAAGCCAGTTGCCATTTAGACCTCGACCTGTTTTAATGGCTTTGTATGCATCAGACTTAGTGATTGAGCGAGTGGAAATAACTATATTTGTTGCTCCCGCCGCAGCGGTCTTGGCATGTTAATCAGCTAATTCATTACCCTCAATACTGGCGGATCTGGGGTGGCCCCCTCGCGGGTGGGCCCAGAAAAAAAATAAAATTGGGCCCAAAAAAATGTTTGAGTCAAAAAAGGCCTTGTTGCCCCAAAAAGTGGGCCTTTTGGTCATAAATGGGCCTTCTAAGGCCTTATTTTTTAATTTTAGGCCAAATTTTGAAGAAAAAGGGGCCTCAAAATTTCAAAAATTTGGGCCCACATTTTGGTTTTTGGTTTTAGGGGCCAATTTTTCTCAGAACAGAATTTGGGCCCCCCCTTGCTGGTTCCCAGATCCGCCCCTGCTCAATACCCAAATGGCCGGGAACCCAATAGTAGGTCAAAATGTTACCTCTGTCGTGAAGTCCCTTATTATCCTGTTCCCGGACTATAGTCCTGTACGGAGCCAATACATTTGCCTGTACGATTACAACTTGGGAGAATTATCTACGCCCCTTCCACTTAAGAAACCTACCTCAATGCATTCTACAACTCAAAATGTAACTTCTAATATATTGGAACCGCCGATTGTCTGGGTTAGTTGGCAGAACGAGGTCTTTTTGTTTCTTATGGCTCTTTTGGTCGAAGTTCGATTAAGATGGCGGTTATAACGGAATTTCCCGAACTCTTCCGTAATAGCACGAACTTGGTTTTTCGTTACGTCACTTCCGTGTAAAATGGATTTGTTTCGGGTAAGAGGGAATTTCGAAAATTTCGGACAATATTTTCAATATTTACTGCCATGTCGACATCCTAAGCTCTTAACTGTATACCGAATGGTTAAACAATGTTTCTTACCGGAAACAAATCCATTTTACATGGAAGTGAAGTAACGAAAAACCAAGTTCGTGCTATTACGGAAGAGTTCGGGAAATTCTGTTATAACCGCCATCTTAATCGAACTTCGACCAAAAGAGCCATAAGAAACAAAAAGACCTCGTTCTGCCAACTAACCCAGACAATCGGCGGTTCCAATATATTAGAAGTTACATTTTGAGTTCTAGAATGCATTGAGGTAGGTTTCTTAAGTGGAAGGGGCGTAGATAATTCTCCCAAGTTGTAATCGTACAGGCAAATGTATGGGCTCCGTACAGGACTATAGTCCTGGAACGGGATAAGTCCCTTACACACTGTCTTGATCTTAATAATGGTCTCTGTCTGGGTCTTAGGTCTGATGTTCGTAATATAATTGATCAATCTAAAGATGGCTATGTGCAAGTATAGCAAGGGACACCTAGGTGGTATTTAGTAACACCAACATCCCGAAGGGAGTAAGATGTGTAAACTTTAGCCTACTTGCTAAGATGAAAAAGAGGTTGAAACGTTACCTACCTTGATCAGTTATGTGATACATTGATCCATGTATAAACTGGGGTAATATGATAAACAACCCAGCTATATTTCTCCAATAATTTGAATTTTTCATAGTCAAAAAATTGATGAAATCAGAAGTCGAACCCCGAAAGTTTGCCATTTTCTAGTTGAGAATTACCATATAATCCTGCTACATTAGAACATCGTTTTTGTTTATGTGTATACTTTGACAAGTGAACTACACTATATCATGATTTATTCCATCCGAATGTCCAAATTGATGTGACAATGACTAATCTACATATTTGAGAAATAGTGGGCGATAATAGAAATGTTGTTTTTCGAAGTAGAAATGACGTCATTATTTAAAGGACACTAAGATTGATCTTTATAATTTTGATAAATTTACTGTGTTTTTGATTCGATCCTTTTCTTATGATATGTTTAATATTTCAAAACAGGTGTTTTGGCCAAGAAAATAATTTGAATGACTATTTAGGTTTTTATTCCTATTTTAATATTCCACATGTTTACATCACTCTTGTTGCCTCTGATTAGTTGTAAATATGGCGGCCCCTGGGAAAATGTTAGTGCGATCAAAAAGTGGCCTTCGCACCGTCAGTTTAGAGGAAGATGTCTCTAGTCCATTCCTGTTAGATGAACCACCATGGATACCAGATAATGAGGTAACATAGTGCTGGAATTTCCTTTGGATTCTTCTAAAATAAAAAGGGATTGTCCCCAAAAATTTGCACCCACCCCTTTTTCGTTTGTTTTTATTATTTAATTTTATTGACCTAATTTTATTTTTTTGTTTTCATTTTAGATTTATCACAAATACATGTATGAAACTTGTTAACCCGGGAACACCAAAATGATTCACTTCCAAATGTTCCAAGAGTAGATTTCTTGAAAAATAAGATTTACCTGAAGATTAGGAGTCTTGTCTAGTGGGTACCCAGTGCATGATGCCCATGTCAAGCAGCGTGCCTACTAGGCACGCAGTTTGAAACTCTGACAAACTGCGCGCATATTTCAAAATGTGAGACGGGGAGGACACGACTCCCAAAAAGAGCCAAAATACGAAAAATACAAGTTAGTCTCGTTCTAAAGATAGTACCATTCTGTGAAGATGAACTTAATTTACTCATAGTACTCAATGTTTTTCCCGATGTAAACCTAGTTATCTCAATATAAGGGTCTTAAGTAACTTCTGTGTTCAAAATTTACAGTGTAAAGTTATATCTATGTCTTTTTATCGTCATTTGCCGTTTATTCAGCCATTGTGTCTGTGTATGCTAGAATATATAGGATCACTCCATCTGATTAAAACAGCAAAGTTTGTGTTCAAAACGATAATACGCCATAAACGTGATTTAAACATTTTTCTTGTCAAACTGCGCGCCTATATTCACATGTATTTCCCAAACTGCGTGCCTAATATTTCAAAACTGCTTGCCTATCCAAGCTTGTTTTGTATTATTAGAAAACATAAGCGCCATACAAGGCACATATGTGTCTAATAGTAGAACCCCATAATTGAAACACTATGAGAGTCCATCCACCAAGATGGTGATCTGAAAATAAATGTTTTTTTCGTTCCCAACTTAATTGTCACTTCTATTATACATTTTGACTTTCAATATGAAAATCTCATAAAATCTGACGATAAAGCAAAATTTCCAAAGCTACATCGAAAACACCTACACGTACCTCTGTAGAAATTCCAATGATAATATGTAGTTTTAATAGTGTATGCGCACAGATTGTAATTTCTGGCTAAAATAGGCGCGCAGTTTGTGGTTTATTTCTTTTTAATCTCCTGATTATCTGTTTTATTTCGAAATATTTTGAATTAAACATGATAAATGTGTAAGGAATTAAATATAAAACGAGTCTTAAGTATTTGTCATTTATGTTTAAAGTGCTAGATCAATTTACGTATAAATTCCCATTAAATCAGTGACGAAAATGCCATTAATCTGCTTATGTTTTAAAACTAAGATTCATTTGCACACAGTTTTTGCTAGTATTTGCAAGATTCGTATATTCGCCACAGAATGAACGCATTGAACAAGAAAACAATGCAGGATAAATGTCTTTAAATAACGTTTCAAAATACAGACTCCAACTTAAATGATCCAATGTTCTTAGGCACGCAGTTTGTGATCGAAACAAACTGCGCGCCTAAGTAGGCGCGCAGCTTGACATGGGCACCGTGCAGTGGGGGACATAAAGAATTACAAAAGCTATGGAAATTACATGCTGTCGCACATGTAACAAATTCTTACATCAGTGTATTCAGTGCTCTATTTTCTCCGTCTAGAGTCCATTTCGCTGTTTAATTGTGTCAGTAAAAGCTAAAAAAATAAGAAATCAAAATATCATTATGCAATAATATAAGGAAAAATGTATTCCTATTGTATATGAATGACATTTGTATATCTTGGATTGCTTCTAGTTTGGTTTATAAAGTGTGTGACCTCTTATATTTGGATGCTTCTCTGCCATGTTATTTTCAATACGATTAACATGGCCGAAATTCTTCAAATTACAAGAGGGCACAGGCTTATTGCACAAAAAACTAAAAATCTGAAATATACAAATGTCATTCATGCACATTATGAATATACTTTTCCATATATTATTGCACAATGGTCTCCCAGTTTCTGATTTTTGGGGTTCTACTGACGCAATAAAACAGTGAAATGGTAGACTAGAGTCCATTTCACTGCTTCACTTCGTCAGTAGAACGGCAAAAATAAGAAATTGGGAGACCATTGTGCAATAATATATGGAAAAGTATATTCATAATGTACATGAATGACATTTGTATATTTCAGATTTTTTAGTTTTTTGTGCAATAAGCCTGTGCCGTCTTGTAATTTGAAGAATTTCAGCCATGTTAATTTTATTGAAAATAACATGGCAGAGAAACATCCAAATATAAAAGGCCACACACTTTATAAGCCAAACTAGAAGCAATCCAAGATATACAAATGTCATTCATGTACATTATGAATATACTTTTCCATATATTATTGCACAATGGTCTCCCAATTTCTTATTTTTGCCGTTCTACTGACGAAATGAAGCAGTGAAATGGACTCTAGTAAGGGTTATATATATTTTGCAAGTGGATCCAAGAGACCAAGTGGGCGAGTCAATTATTTTGCAGGGGTGGCATGATACACACATTTCAATTTTCTATATAGTGAATTCCCAGTGATTGATTTCAGTACAGTAAAACTGTCATAATGAACACCTCTTTAGTGAAGATCTGTGCCCAGTGAACACATAAGTCTACTCTATTGAGCACCTGTGTGTAAGGAAACACAAATTCCCAGCCAGTAATTTCAGTAACTTTTAGAGGGGATTGTACCTACAGTAAAACCTGTCTAATCCGAGGGACCAGCTAAAAGCGTTCAGATTAGGAGGTGTTCACATTTTGAGGTTTTGCATTTGCAAGATTTTGGATTGAAGAAATAGGAACAAATTCTCAATAAATATTTATAGTTCTTTTGACAATATAGCTTTATGGCATTACAGTGACATGAAAATCCGATTCAAATGAATTTATTCATCCTAGAAAGCCCCACCATGAGTGAGATCATTCAAGGTTTTTTCAAATATTGTATGGAACATGTGATATTTAATGAAAAGTGTTCAGATTAGATAGGTTAATTTTTCAAACATGACTGTTCACTGTTCAAATTGGGAGGGGTTCACTTTTCAAGGTTTTTTAACATTTGAGTCAATGGGAGGAAAAATGGGACCAAAAAAGTGTTCAAATTGGGAGGTGTTCGGATTAGCCAAGTGTTCAAATATAAAGCTTTTACTGTACTACATTTGTTTCCAAATTTTTGGAGGAAAGTGTACATCATTTCAGAGAAATGACAGGAAACACACTGCCATGGGAACTGGTCATATCAGATGTCCCACGCTTTACTTCCAGAAGAGGTCATTTTCCAGGATTATAGATGAACAATCAGCCAATCAATGATATAGTTTACATAAGAGAAGTATGACTGTATGAATTCTGGGATATTCCTGTTTTGTTGAGCCGGATGAGAATAAAATTAACCCTTTGCAAAATTGATCAAAACTCATTATTAATTTTCTTGGAGGGGAAAAGCCCCCCTTCCAAACTGCTGTCAAAGCTCATTCTCTTCACATTTAACACTATTATTTGTCAATGTTTTTTCAACAAAGGATTGGTATGGTGAATTGAATTCAACAGTAGTTTTCTCTTAATTCAATTATTGAAAACATTCCGTAAAAAACAGTTCTTTATGTAATGTTGACTGATTGACAACAATTTAATGCGCAAAATTATTTATATATATTTCATATAACTGTTTTTGTTAACATTTTTATGTTTTTTAGAGGAATTGTTTTTTGTTCCTTTCTACCAATTCTTGAGAATGAAATAAAATATCTTTCCGAACCTTATTGGAACAAAATAGCACTATAATATTTTAGTTTAAATACAAAGGAAATTTTGGTTGATTTAACAAAAGGTATTCAAAAAGTTAAAACAAAAACCCCAAAAATGGATAAAAATTAAGATAAACTTTCCTTTGTACAATTACAATATTGAGAGACCTAAACACGTTGTGTTTGTCATTTTGTTCCAATGAGGTTTGGATAGATGTTTCATTTCATTCCGAACATATGAGGCCAAGAACAAAAGAAGTGTCTGGTGTGTTTTCTAAATCAATAAAGAGAAAAGTATATATTTTTTTTCAAATCATATTGCTACCATTTAAAAGATGACCATTACATTGACAATGTGTAAAAGTTTCAGAATTTTTTGATGACTGGTTTAAGAGAAACTTGTGTTCAAAGAGTTCACCAAATCGATACCAATCCTTTGCAGAATAATTTTTTTTGTATGTGGGTGAGATTACCCAAATGGCTTCACCAATGTTATGGGTTATTTTTACATATAATGCATCATGCATAATGCTACACATTAGAAAAAAATACTACTTTTCCCTAAAGAGCAAGAAACAAGAACATCCATTAAAAACAGCCCAGTAATACATTTAACAGGCCCCTTATTAGAAAAGTCTGTGATCCGGTATTTGTGCATTCTAATCTGGTTTTTATTGAATTTGCTTCTGATTTCAAAATTTACAGATCTGATATTTATTGACTACTAAACTTTTAGTAGGTTTTCTTTAATAAGGCAATGTGAGTATGTGGAAATTGATATGTGTATCCTGTCACCCCTGCAAAATAATGGACTTGCCGACTTGGTCTCTTGGATCCACTTGTAAAATATATATAACCACTAGTAAGTCCAGATATAGTAGAATTTGTGTCTATAATGACAAATAAGAACTTAAAAATTTGAAGTAGAATTCACATGCTAATGCCGACTCTTCAAATGTTGAGGTGATTTTAGAGCCCGATTGCGCCGCAATGTGGATTAACTCCCAGCATGCAACATGACACATGTCAGCTTTCAAAATACCATTTTGCCATTTTGAAATCTGTCACGAGTAAATAAGGTTACCTGATTTGCATTCTGGGAGTCAATCCTCCTTGGATCACAAACATGGGGATTCATGAAAACATTCGTTCGATTTGGTTTGGATTTATCTATCATTTGCAGGTATGAAGCTTTGGGAATTATTTTTCAACCACTTGGGAGAGTTTGAGACACAAAACTTATAATTTAGCTCATTGTGACAACTTTTGAGGGTTGAGATTTATTTTTGTCCCCCACTGTATATCTATGTCAGTAATCTGCGAAAGGCTTATACGCCCATATAAAACAGATATATATAATTTAACAGTGATAGAATTTGAATAGAATATAATTTAAAACCTTAACATATAAAAATAGATCTATGTTTTACAACTCATTTTAAAATTGAAAGAAACCTTCCTGGTTGGCCCCTGTTGGCCTAGGAAGTCCCTTTATGTTGAAACCAGTAGTGCAGGCTTGTTGCTGTGCACTAGGGACCTTTTACATTAAAACATAGATCTAAACACACACCTATTTAATTGCAGTTATTGACATAGGCATAGTATGATGATTTAAAAGTACTTAGACTGTCACAGTCTAGGATATCACCTGGTAGGGGGTTCCATTTAGCTAGGGAAATAGCTAAATTTGTATGTATCCGTTCTAGTTGATGGTTGTATGAACTTAGAAGGATGATTCAGTGGCTCCCACTGTAGGTCTTGAAGAGCTTTGGTGACTAAGCCTGGTTCCCTTGAGTGGCATTTGGTTACAAACCTGGCTGCTCTTCTCTGTACCTGATCCAACATATGAATATATTTTTGTCGGTATGGATCCCATGCCGAACTGGCATACTCTAAATTAGGCCGGTCAATATAGTGACTTATACGCCTGAGCCTTCACTTTTTCAGGGCATTGATGGGGGTTGCACCTGAGAAATCCAAGCACCTTATTGGCTTTGGATACAATAGTTTGAATATGTGTAGTCCAGCGTAAGTTATTTGTGATGTCAATATCTAGGTATGGGATGTGTGTTACCGACTTAAGGTTTTCCCCTAGTATGGTGTAATTGTGAATGATAGGGGATTTACCTTTGTGAATATTTAGCACATAGCATTTTGATGGATGGAATTTCAATTGCCATGTTGATGCCCAGGAGACCAGTTTATCTAGATTCTCCTGTAGTGTTAATGCATCTTGCTTGCTTTCGACTGTCATGAATAAAAGGCTGCCCTCAGCAAATAGCTTAGATATGACAGTGACAGTGGTTGTAAAAGGCCTGTCATGACCATGGTGATGTTAAAGCCTGATATGTCAGTGACAATGGTTGTAAGGCCTGTCATGACCATGGTAATGTTAAAGCCTGATATGTCCGTGACAATGGTTGTAAGGCCTGTCATGACCATGGTAATGTTAAAGCCTGATATGTCCGTGACAATGGTTGTAAGGCCTGTCATGACCATGGTAATGTTAAAGCCTGATATGTCCGTGACAATGGTTGTAAGGCCTGTCATGACCATGGTAATGTTAAAGCCTGATATGACCGTGACAATGGTTGTAAGGTCTGTCATAACCCTGGTAATGTTAAAGCCTGATATGACAGTGACAATGGTTATAAGGCCTGTCATGACCGTGGTAATGTTAAAGCCTGATATGTTTGTGACAATGGTTGCAAGGTCTGTCATAACTCTCGTAATGTTAAAGCCTGATATGACCGTGACAATGGTTGCAAGGTCTGTCATAACCCTGGTAATGTTAAAGCCTGATATGACAGTGACAATGGTTATAAGGCCTGTCATGACCGTGGTAATGTTAAAGCCTGATATGTCAGTGACAGTGGTTGCAAGGTCTGTCATAACTCTGGTAATGTTAAAGCCTGATATGACCGTGACAATGGTTGCAAGGTCTGTCATAACCCTGGTAATGTTAAAGCCTGATATCACAGTGACAATAGTTGTAAGGCCTGTCATGACCGTGGTAATGTTAAAGCCTGATATGACCGTGACAATGGTTGCAAGGTCTGTCATAACCCTGGTAATGTTAAAGCCTGATATGACAGTGACAATGGTTATAAGGCCTGTCATGACCGTGGTAATGTTAAAGCCTGATATGTCAGTGACAGTGGTTGCAAGGTCTGTCATAACTCTGGTAATGTTAAAGCCTGATATGACCGTGACAATGGTTGCAAGGTCTGTCATAACCCTGGTAATGTTAAAGCCTGATATCACAGTGACAATAGTTGTAAGGCCTGTCATGACCATGGTGATGTTAAAGCCTGATATGACCGTGACAATGGTTGTAAGGTCTGTCATAACCGTGGTAATGTTAAAGCCTGATATGACAGTGACAATGGTTGTAAAAGGCCTGTCATGACCATGGTGATGTTAAAGCCTGATATGTCCGTGACAATGGTTGCAAGGTCTGTCATAACCCTGGTAATGTTAAAGCCTGATATGTCCGTGACAATGGTTGTAAGGTCTGTCATAACCGTGGTAATGTTAAAGCCTGATATGACAGTGACAATGGTTGTAAAAGGCCTGTCATGACCATGGTGATGTTAAAGCCTGATATGTCAGTGACAGTGGTTGCAAGGTCTGTCATAACTCTGGTAATGTTAAAGCCTGATATGACCGTGACAATGGTTGCAAGGTCTGTCATAACCCTGGTAATGTTAAAGCCTGATATCACAGTGACAATAGTTGTAAGGCCTGTCATGACCGTGGTAATGTTAAAGCCTGATATGACATTGACAGTGGTTGTAAAAGGCCTGTCATGACCATGGTGATGTTAAAGCCTGATATGACCGTGACAATGGTTGTAAGGCCTGTCATGACCGTGGTAATGTTAAAGCCTGATATGACATTGACAGTGGTTGTAAAAGGCCTGTCATGACCATGGTGATGTTAAAGCCTGATATGTCCGTGACAATGGTTGTAAGGCCTGTCATGACCGTGGTAATGTTAAAGCCTGATATGTCCGTGACAATGGTTGCAAGGTCTGTCATAACCCTGGTAATTTTAAAGCCTGATATGACAGTGACAATGGTTATAAGGCCTGTCATGACCGTGGTAATGTTAAAGCACGATTTGACTGTGACAATGGTTATATAAAATGACAATTGGTATTTTGAGAATACTTTAATGAAAAATATTATCATTTAACTTCCTTAATATGTAAATATAGAATACTATGTGCATGGTACTCACATACATTGAAACATAAAATTTTAGATTCATGTTAACTCATAATTCATTTCCACAAACTATAATTCTAATCTTATTCAATCATGAACGTTCGATTCGATAACACATACTTTCTATGATGATCAATCACCTCTCTAACCAACAACATGAATGTACAGCAGAATAGTTTAGTGTTATCTTGTTCCAACCTATTAGTATTTCAGTAATTTTCAGTTTTTGAAATTTCGCAGATATTGATTTTTGTAGATTTGTCATACAAGATCACTCTTTTGACTTCCATAACACCGATGGTTGTTCCTTCGCCCAATGATTTTGGCTTCTTATTAAGCCATTTTGTCAGAATGTTCAATTTAATGCAGTATATAGTAATTATGATCTTTCTAGTTTCTCTTTTTCAAAACTCAAAAAACTTATTGTGCCTTAGTAGCTGCTTAGATCAAGTGTGATGAAGCTGTTTTATTATAGCTCAGTAGCTGCTTATATAAAGGGTTATAAAGCTGTTCTATAGGATGAGCCTGAAAGGCTAACCCAAACAAATGTTTGAATTCCATCTTCCAACATGGATTTACAATCATATTTGGCACAATTGAAGCTTGTTCAATGTCATTTCATTCTTCTAGTTTTTATGGCCATTTTACAAAATATGCTTCAAATGCAGAAAAATCACCTGATATGAATCCAAAACTTTTATCTTTGGAGATATTTCAAAGATAATGTCCACACTTTCAACCGTAGAAGCATAGGAATAGTGAGAGGGGTATCATGGTGCTTGTACAACCCCCCCCCCCCCAATTTGCCTCAAACCCCACTTTCGGTATAAAATGAACCCCAGCTGGGAACAAACCCCACTCTCAGAAATTGACTATTCACATTGAATGAACTAAATAATTCTGAAATTTCAAGGCAAAATATGCAAAATTGGCCGAGTTATTCAACTTTCTTTCCTGGTTTTGGACACCCTGTATTTGATGATGCACAGATTATATTCTGTAATTTGATTGGTTTGTTGTAACAGTTTCCTTCGTCCAAACCCTCTCCTTCGCCTTGAACTCCAACCCCCCCCCCTTTGTTATAAAATGAGCCCTCTGGCATGGGAAAAAATTGAACCCCCTGTCATATAATCATGACAAATAATACAACTCGGTATTTATTGTCTCATTACACCCCCTTTGGTAAATCCTGGGTACACCCCATGAAGCATCAGAGAGTTGAAACAAAATATATCTGATATCACCTGCACATTCAAATTGGCCTCAGAGATTGAAATAGCATTTTGAGGATGTTGTAAAATAGCCATAAAGTCATTGGTCATTTGAAATAGACCAATGAAACTTGGTGGAATGAAAGAACATTGAACATGCAAAATATATTATTTAAAACCATGCTGGATGACTGAATTATTTACATTTGTTTGTGCTACCTTTTATTCAAATGTGATGAAGCTACTCTTAAATGCCTCTGTAGCTGCTTATATAAAGAGTGATGAACCTATTCTATTTTGCCTTTTTTACTTTTATGCAGCTCAAACCATCTATCTTGGTACTAGATAGTAGATATCCATTGTACAAAGAGTCTACTTTTGGTCTAGAATGCCCTAGGTGAAAATCCATGCATAGTGCAAATAATATTCCAAAGGAAATTACTCTTGTGTCTTTAAAACAATATAATATGAATAGGAACTGTATGTGTTATTCTTATTCTTATAAGTGTTTTTTTGTTGTTGTTGTAGTGCTCCAGCTGCATCCAGTGCCAAAAGAAGTTTGATTGGTCATGTAGAAGGGTGAGTAGAAGCTCCTTAAAGGGGCAACAAGGCCTGTAGAGAGAAAATAGGAAAATTTTAACTTTTTCTGAGCTATCAAGGCAACATTTGGCTAAACATCTTTTTTGACATACCTATTTTCTTAAAATGTATGGATTAACTATCAATTTCAGCATTTATAAGTGTAAATTCAGTTCAAAGCTTCAAAAAGGGGAAATCCACTTTTATATTCTAGGGGGTTTCTTTGTAGATAATAAAAATAGTAAGTCCTGATGAAATATCCAAACTGGTCCATGGTAACATTGTGAAATTGCTGCAATCCTTAACAGTTACATTGTTAAATAGCTACAATCCTTAATAGTAGCATTATGAAATAGCAAATCCTTAATGGTAACATTGTTAAATAGCTGCAATCATTATTAGTAACATTGTTAAATAGCTGCAATCCTTGAAAGTAACCTTGTTAAATAGCTACAATCATTAATGGTAACATTGTTGAATAGCTGCAATCCTTAATAGTTACATTGTTAAATAGCTACAATCATTCATGGTAATATTGTTAAATAGCTGCAATCCTTAGTAGTAACATTGTTAAATAGCTGCAATCCTTAATAGTTACATTGTTAAATAGCTGCAATCCTTAATAGTAACATTGTGAAATAGCTGCAATCCTTAGTAGTCACATTGTTAAATAGCTGCAATCCTTAATAGTAACATTGTAAGATAGCTGCAATCATTAAGAGTTACATTGTTAAATAGCTGCAATCCTTTATAGTTACATCGTGAAATAGCTGCAATCCTTAATAGTAGCATTATGAAATAGCAAATCCTTAATGGTAACATTGTTAAATAGCTGCAATCCTTTATAGTTACATTGTTAAATAGCTACAATCCTTAATAGTTACATTGTTAAATAGCTACAATCCTTAATAGTAACATGATTAAATTGATGCAATCCTTGATAGTTACATTGTGAAATAGCTATAATCCTTAATAGTAACATGATTGAAATAGCTTAAATTCTAACAGTAACATGTATTTATTTATGTGTTGCAGCATCACTGTCGCAGATGTGGCCGTATATTCTGTAGCAGTTGTTGTGACAACAGTGCCCCATTGCCACGCATGAGTTTTGTTGACCCAGTACGTCAATGTGCCGACTGTGTGCTCAAGACAAAGAGAGAAAATGATTTCTTTGAAAAATATGTTAAAACTTTAATCAATGGTAAATATCTGTTTTATATGATATTTTATTACCTTGCAGAATTATGTACTGATCAGAATATAATTACTGAAAAATTGGACTTTCTCCAAATAAACTGTTTTTTGGATTTGCTCATTCATGTCTATATTTCTAAAAATATTTATAATTCTGTGTTAAGTTTGAAGCACATTGCTGTTGCGCTAAATACAATCAATTAATGTTTGATCAATTGTTCTTCTTGAATTAAAAAAGTTGCTTTTGAACATCTTTGTATAAGAGAATGTTGAATTTGTCACATTTGGGCAAAATTAATCCATGAATTTAATTTTTCTCAATGTAAATTTCAGCCAGATCATATATTTTCTTCTGTCTTGCAGGTGCCACGTTTCATGTGAAGAGAATGGTCAACAACCAGGAGACACTGGATGTCTCTGTCTGCAAGATGTCAGCTGATCAAAGGTATGTAGTTCCCGTGTCATGTCATTATCATCCCATCAAACAAAGTTCTGAGGGATATAGGGAACACCTCCATCTGTCTGGATAATAACTCAAATAATACATGGGAATAGAAGTTCTGCTTGAAGGCTAGTATAAGTTCTGCTAGTAGGCGGCCATTTACCTTTATGTGTGTACGATTTTGTTGAAATTTTACTTTTAGAAGCATTAAACTTTTTCATGACAATTTGGCTAGTGAGTGACCATTTTGAAAATGATGGCTATTTTTATGTGTGTAATTTTACTATTTTTGTTATTACTGTTAGAGTTGTAGACTGACTTTGTAAAAATGGCAGCCATGGCTGTTTGATGGGATTTGCTACCATTTAGCATTGTTGTTATCTAGTTTTGAACATACTGTACTCCCGGTAATTTTCGCGCACTATATTTCACGCTTTTTGTGAATTTTGGAAAATTCGCGAAATATACAGGAGTACAGTATATCACATTTTATTACTTTGCAGATATATCACATTTTATTATATACAGGGTGTCCAAAAAACAGGACCCAAGAAAGTTACTCATTTGGTAGATTATCATCAAACTTTCACAGAAAAATTCACATTGAATCTGTCTGTCCAGGTGATAACTCAAATACAAGTTGACAGATAAGGTTTAAATTTTATAGGCTGAAACTTGATTAAGATAGGACCGTTTCTCAAGAATGAATTTTCTGATTTAAGGTGCTCATAGGCTTAGAACTCTGCTCAAGAAGAATTTTTCAGGAGAGCTACTGGTGTAGATTTTTCCAAAAGGAGACAATATGATTATACTAGCTACCTGTTTTATCATGTTATTTTGAAAATGATGAGTGATTTGATAAAATATGTTTTGTTCCATGGCATTTGCTTCTATCGGGAGTTTCTCTAGTTATTCCAGATATATTACATTTTATATTTTGCAGATATATTACATTTGAAGGAGGAAATGGTCTGGAACCAATCAACCTCACCCGCCTGGAAGGAGTACAGATCATCACGTCTGGAGCTGATGCACAGGGTGAGCCACAATTAGCACATTTTAAAATGATATATTCATGTACTGGGAGAGCAACTTTGTGAAATTCATTTTAGCCTACCTTATTAGTAATAACCAGTCGTGTAACAGCCTGTGAGGAAAGCAGTCAGGTTTTATTGCTCAGATATTTTCAGTCGATTCAATATTCCTGGAAAATTACTCATTAGACTTACTTGTTTTGTTTTATTATTATAAATTTTATTAACTTAATAACAAAATTGAAACATTTTTACAATTTTTACATAATATACAGGGGTATATAAAATATATTAATATATACATGATAATAGTAATATAAATTCTTAAGTGTTATTACTGTTATGGAATGTTTCAACAAAACCTTGTAAAAATCTGACAAATCCGTTTGAGCATACTGCTCAGACCAATATTCATGGATAGAATTACTTGTTACTGTGTTTGGTATCCGATTATATTGTAGAACATATTATACACACCTTATTTTGTACTGCATATTGTAATACATGTCTGTACAGAGAAAGAAGGTGAGGGGAAACTACTTGCATGTAGGTAAAACTGTGTTTAAATGTCAACAAACTGTGTTGTACTGTACTGTACTGTACATTTTATTATACAAACACCGTATATTGTGCTACATATTGTAATGCATATACCCTGTATATTCACACTACCCTACCTTGATCGTGCATGCGCTAGATTTTTGACTTTCGCTCAGTCCACTGCTGAGTAAAATTACTGCAATAATATATGGTCATCTTATGAATGGTAACAATATAATTTGAAAATATATATATATACTTTCATCTATATTGTTTTAGAAAACACATCAAACACTTGTTTTGTTCTTGGTATGATGTTTTCAGAGTGAAATGAAACATCTTTCCAAACCTCTTTGGAACAAAACGACATAAACACAACATGTTTAGGTCTCTCAATATTGTAATTGTGTAAAGGAAATTTTGGTTGATTTTAAAAAAGTATCTTGAAATAAAAGGTTTTTTCTTGATTTTTATCTATTTTGGGTCGATTTTGTTTTAATTGTGTAAAGGAAATTTTGGTTGATTTTAAAAAAGTATCTTGAAATAAAAGGTTTTTTCTTGATTTTTATCTATTTTGGGTCGATTTTGTTTTAATTTTTTGAATACTTTTTTAAAATCAACCAAAAACTCCTTTGTATAACTATATAATATTGAGAGGTCTAAAAACATTTTGTATGCTATTTTGTTCCAACAAGGTTCAGAAGGACATTTTATTTCATTTTTAAGAATTGGTAGAAAGGAGCATAAACAATTGCAATAAAAAAAAACAAAAAATGTTATAACAAAAAAAGTTATATAAAATATTTCTAAATGATTTTCGCATGAAATTGTTGTCAATCAGTCAACATTACATAAAATACCGTGTTTTTTTTACAGAATCTTTTCGATAACTGGTTTAAGAGAAAAACATTGTTGAATTCAGTTCACCATATCGATACCTATCCTTTCCAGAACCTTGTGATTGCCCTGTATATATAAACACCCTACATTGTAGTACATGTTATAATTTACATATGCTGCATATTGTGTTACATATTGTACTTTTATTTACATATGATATACTATTAGTCAACTTAATTTGGCGGGATTTAATTTGGCGAATTGGGCAAATTTAGAAAATTGGCAGAGATTTAATTTGAAGAATTTAGCATCAATAAATGGCTGTAAAATTGGCAAATTTCACAGTAGAATCAGTATTAACGGTCATCATTTTACACTCTTATTTCCTTCAGAAAATAATAGAAAATTGTTTTGTTCATTTTATTTTTGTGACTTTCTGACACCAAATGGTCCAATTTATTGGATAAATCAGATCTTGAACATTTAACCATGATACACAATTTTTCCGAACATAAATTACACTAGACGAAAATTTCCCAGGGATTTCTGAAAAATTGGCGAAGACATGAATTTGCGAATTTTATCAATTTGCCAAATTCGCCAAATTAAATTGTTTGCCAATGAAGTTGGCTAACAGAAGACTGTTTTGTACAGCAGTCTACAAAGAACAATGGGAGGTTGAATACATACTAGATGCATTTTTGGGACATTTGTGATGTACAGGATGTCAAAAAACAATGGCACCCCCTCTACAGCAAAAAGTCCTTAATATTCTTTATCGTGTCATACCGTATTTGAAAGATTTCAACTGCACTGACCATATGGGTTCATTTCTGAAAAACAGGGTATAGGAACTGATGGGCAAAGAGCCTCTTGAAAAAAGACACAGTAAGGATGTATTTCTGAAGAATGTGAGGAAAGTGCTAAGAGGATTTAATGCAATGCTACACCTTTATTTGAATTTTTATTGAAATCATATCCGTCCAGATAAGCTGCTGTTTGAGTAGCAACTACTAAGAATCAGCTGTAAATCTGTAAAATTATATGATATAAAGCTGAAATTTGTCAGGTAACTCCAGAATTAAATTGTCTTTAAAATGAGATAAGACACACCATGTAACATTAAGTACTTTTTGCTGTAGAGGGGGGATGCCATTGTTTTTTGACACCCTGTGTTTTATGTAAATACAAAATTAATATACTGAATGATATCATATAACTTACATATCAGTTATGACCATTGACCTCTTTTGTGTCTTTGCTAATATTACAACATTTAAACCAAATGCTTAGGCCGATAGAAATAATTTTTAAATAAACTTTAAGATGGCATGGTGATTGATCTGTGTTTATTTATAATTCTCTGTGGTATTTTTAAATTCCACATTCAGCCCCTAAAAGTCGTTTTTGTAAAACAGCCCTACTGTTTGATAAAATACATTAATATACATACCAAGTGTGTAGTGTCGATTAAACATGATATACCTTAGAACTAATTCTTCACTTCTCTCTTCAAGCAGACATTTATTCTCAAACATCAACAAATGATTTGAAATGTATTTATTATTATTTTGTTTTTTTGGAATGATATGATTACTTTTAATTTGCATTGCTAAAAAATGGTAAGTACCAATCGTATGCTTTGGGCATGTGCAAAATCAATAAACACTTGACTCCTGCCATGGCCAATTTCGCAAAGTGGGACAGTGTCTTTTAATGACGTGTCAGACCCTCAGTATGTCATATATAGATTTTATATTCTGGATATGTCATTCCATGCTTTCTTTATATAAAGTTTGTTTTTTTTACATTGAGAATAGCATTAAGCCACGTAAACTTGAATTCAAAAACTCTTTGAGCACCCAAGAGAAAAAGATAATATAGGATTCTGTTGGTGCTGCCATCTTTATATCAGCCCAAAATCTACTGATGAAACCTTTATATCCAGACACCTCTCTAACTAGAAAATGTGAACACTTACCCCAGTGCTAACTTTGATATTACCAACTGACACATAGCCTATACTACCAGTTTTGTGAAATGAAATCAAAGTCCTTAAAATGTTAGTGTTATTTTTTTTTGTTTAATACCTTCGGGTCTGCAGATTAACCCCTAGCTTACTCTGATTGTATTGTGTATATTGTACTTTCTGTCGTCTAAATATTGCATTGTTATTTGACAACCTTTACCACAGTTGTAAAAAGCTATTTTCTCTCTTAAAATGTTTAATTCTCACCTGCATTTTAAAGGATTGCAAACTTAATTATCTGATTACAAGTTACAAAGCACATTTAAGAATGACAGTTTGGCATTAAAGAACAATTGTGGCACTTTAAAGATTAAAAGAACATCGAACCAATTTGACACTTGAAAGAACAGCAGCCTTGGATTTTTAAGAATGTCAACCATTCAAAGATGCCAGAATTACATAACGACACGGCTGATTTTAATTTTGCATTTAAATTTCTAGAAGTGCCCCACAATTCAGGCATCAGCGCATAATTTTTGTATGATTAACACATTTCTCAAAGAATCTTTAACCTGTTGTTTAACTGCTTCATCATCTTCATAATTATTTTAAGTAGGTTGATAGATAAGTACATAATGTGTTTAAACCTGACAAGAACTAAAAAAAAAGTTTGAACTCTCGTATTATCATCCATATCTGGTATGGTGGTACATATGGTGAGATGGAGTTTATGCTATCACAAAATTTTAGAAGGCTTTTTACTTGAATATGGATTTTGGGAATTTTTGCCGAATGCAATTGCATATTTTGCTCCATAATTGACATTTCCCACCGCATAATTTTGTATTTTTGCTGCATACTATGTACATGTACATGTACTTTATTTTAGGTATTCAGCAAAAGTTGGATATTTTTGAATACAACTGAATATTGAAAACAACCAAATCTAGCCTGCTATATACTGTACTTCTGCTTAATATGGCGGCCGTTTTAAATTGCAGATGTTCCAAATTGCTAAAGTCCGCCAAACTAAGTAGCCTCTAGGTTCAATATTTCATATTTCAATTGTAAATATGTATAGAATACGAGGGTTGTCCCAGAAGTAAAGCACTATATACTCTAACTTTATCAATAATTGATATTTTTCCATGAAATTTTCAGTGAATGGTCCTTAGAGACAATTTTATTATTCTACAAATTTTCATCTTGACTGATAATACTATGTTGATGTTATAATAAAATCAAGTTGGTGAGTTTGGGAAGGGTGGGGCAGGTTATTGTCACGTCAAAAGAAATAAAAAATTAAATATGAAATAATTAATCAACAAATACCATTTTGTGTAGATATAAGAAGTATGATTTCTCCAAGAAAATTCAATAAATCTGGAAGATTTATTTTTTCAAGAGAAAGTTTACAACTGAATTGCTAAATGAATAAGCACAGTACATGGCAAAATATGTTAGGTCTTCTACAATTTTTTGAACTGATACGCTTCTAAGATATGAGATCTATTAAAAAAGGTGCATTGTCACAAACGTACAAAAGTCAATGTTTTTGCTATAAATCTGAAAGGCTACAATGGTCTACACGACCTGTAATAAACAGGTATAAGAGACGTTATTATAACAAGACTAATGATATTATTGGCTTTTTAAAGTAAGTTTCCATCCGTTTAAAAAAAAAATTGAACAGAGGGGGGAGTGAATGGAGGGGGGCGAAATGTGTATATGAGACATGATAAGACATGTTACTTCAATTTATATATAACTCCAAATTTTCCCATTTTTCATTCTCCAGAGATGTAATATCCGGTTTCTTACTGAGGTACTGAGTTTGTTTTTTTCAAATACACGAGGTCTTGTGAATTTGTTCCATCTTAAAGACATATTACTCCCCCCTCCATTCACTCCCCCTCCGTTCAATATTAATTTTTTTCGATTATTTTTTGTATAACACATGGAAACTAACTTTTAAAAGCAAGCAAGTGTGGTGATAATAACATACCTATTTATTACAGGTCGTGTAGACTATTGTTGCCTGATTTATAGCAGAAACAATGACTTTTGCACGTTGGTGATGATTTGCCTTTTTTAATAGATCTCATATCTTAAAAGCGTTTCAGTCAAATAAATACTAGAAGACCTAACATATTTTTCCATGTACTGTGTGCCTATTCATTGAGCAATTCAGTTGTAAACTTTCTCTTGAAAAAATAAATCTTCCAGATTTTTGAATTTTCTTAAAGAAATCGCCTATTCCCCCACCCGTGATATTGCACAGTGTCCTATTTCACATTTTCTCTGAATATTGGCCTTTGCATGTTATGCACTTTTGATATTTGTCAGGTCTTCCACTGTGACTTGTAGTGTTTTTGCCTCCCACATTGGAAGTTGTCATCTGGGGTTCAGTCATCATTTTAAAATCTCTTCTACCACCTCATAATTGTAATTCCATCTGGTCTATACTCCTTTCATATTTTCTTCATGGTAGCATAAGTTTATGTGGTTGGGAGTGGCTGGGAATTTCTTGTCTGTGACTGAATTTGAATTTGTGACTTTTGAACTGTGGTATTATGACATCAAAGTGGTAAATGTCATTTTTTGTACTTGGTTAACATCATGCTGAATAAATTCAACAATTTCCAAAACATTTTGATTATTTAAAAGAAAGAAATATTAATAAATTAACATTTTGAAGCTTTTCATGATTAGAAAAATTGTTACCTGCCCCACCCATCCTATCCCCGTGTTGCTATAGCAACCATTTTAAGACTTAATATTAATGTATGCACGCCGACACTTCAGGATATAACAGATAAAACTTCAATTGTTATATACACAAAATTCCAGCTAAATTAAACAATATTACAGTTAGAGCATATAGTGCATTACTTCTGGGACAACCCTAGCATACATTACAATATTGCAAGTCTGCCAAATGAAGTAGCCGTGTCAAATGTTCAAAACAGTAAATCTGCCAAAATAATTAGCACCAAATTAAGTAGAAGTACAGTATACTTCAGTGTATAAGTCATTGTATTTTCAATGTTGCATCATTCTGAACTGCACAATATACTTATATTATCTTAGGGAACACAGTTGCATCCGGCATATCACTTAAGTTCAGCAACCGACAAGGAGATTTACAGAAACTGCAGCTGTCAGCACCAGAGACCACAAACAAACGACCCTGTCTTCTCTGGATAGCTGCTATGCAAAAGGTAAGAAATATATACAAACAAATGACCCTGTCTGCTCTGGATAGCTGCTATGCAAAAGGTAAGAAATATATACAAACAAACGACCCTGTCTGCTCTGGATAGCTGCTATGCAAAAGGTAAGAAATATATACAAACAAACGACCCTGTCTGCTCTGGATAGCTGTTATGCAAAAGGTAAGAAATATATACAAACAAACGACCCTGTCTGCTCTGGATAGCTGCTATGCAAAAGGTAAGAAATATATACAAACAAATGACCCTGTCTGCTCTGGATAGCTGCTATGCAAAAGATAAGAAATATATACAAACAAACGACCCTGTCTGCTCTGGATAGCTGCTATGCAAAAGATAAGAAATATATACAAACAAACGACCCTGTCTGCTCTGGATAGCTGCTATGCAAAAGATAAGAAATATATACAAACAAACGACCCTGTCTGCTCTGGATAGCTGCTATGCAAAAGGGAAGAAATATATACAAACAAACGACCCTGTCTGCTCTGGATAGCTGCTATGCAAAAGGTAAGAAATATATACAAACAAACGACCCTGTCTGCTCTGGATAGCTGCTATGCAAAAGGTAAGAAATATATACAAACAAAAGACCCTGTCTGCTCTGGATAGCTGCTATGCAAAAGATAAGAAATATATACAAACAAACGACCCTGTCTGCTCTGGATAGCTGCTATGCAAATGATAAGAAATATATACAAACAAACGACCCTGTCTGCTCTGGATAGCTGCTATGCAAAAGGTAAGAAATATATACAAACAAACGACCCTGTCTGCTCTGGATAGCTGCTATGCAAAAGGTAAGAAATATATACAAACGAACGACCCAGTCTGCTCTGGATAGCTGCTATGCAAAAGGTAAGATATATATACAAACAAAAGACCCTGTCTGCTCTGGATAGCTGCTATGCAAAAGGTAAGAAATATATACAAACAAACGACCCAGTCTGCTCTGGATAGCTGCTATGCAAAAGGTAAGGGATATATACAAACAAAAGACTCTGTCTGCACTGGATAGCTGCTATGCAAAAGGTAAGAGATATATACAAACAAAAGACCCTGTCTGCTCTGGATAGCTGCTATGCAAAAGGTAAGAAATATATACAAACAAACGACCCAGTCTGCTCTGGATAGCTGCTATGCAAAAGGTAAGGGATATATACAAACAAAAGACTCTGTCTGCACTGGATAGCTGCTATGCAAAAGGTAAGAGATATATACAAACAAACGACCCTGTCTGCTCTGGATAACTGCTATGCAAAAGGTAAGAAATATGTACAAACAAACGACTCTGTCTGCTCTGGATAGCTGCTATGCAAGAGGTAAGAGATATACAAACAAAAGACCCTGTCTTCTCTGGAGAGCTGCTATGCAAAAAGGAAGATATATATACAAACAAAAGACCCTGTCTTCTCTGGATAGCTGCTATGCAAAAAGGAAGATATATATACAAACAAAAGACCCTGTCTTCTCTGGATAGCTGCTATGCAAAAGGTAAGATATATATACAAACAAACGACCCTGTCTATTTGGATAGCTGCTATGCAAATGATAAGAAATATATACAAACAAACGACCCTGTCTGCTCTGGATGGCTGCTATGCAAAAGGTAAGAAATATATACAAACAAACGACCCTGTCTGCTCTGGATAGCTGCTATGCAAAAGGTAAGAAATATATACAAACGAACGACCCAGTCTGCTCTGGATAGCTGCTATGCAAAAGGTAAGAGATATATACAAACAAAAGACCCTGTCTGCACTGGATAGCTGCTATGCAAAAGGTAAGAGATATATACAAACAAACGACCCTGTCTGCTCTGGATAACTGCTATGCAAAAGGTAAGAAATATGTACAAACAAACGACTCTGTCTGCTCTGGATAGCTGCGATGCAAAAGGTAAGAGATATATACAAACAAACGACCCTGTCTGCTCTGGATAGCTGCTATGCAAAAGGTAAGATATATATACAAACAAACGACCCTGTCTGCTCTGGATAGCTGCTATGCAAAAGGTAAGATATATATACAAACAAACGACCCTTTCTGCTCTGGATAGCTACTATGCAAAAAGTAAGATATATATACAAACAAAAGACCCTGTCTGCTCTGGATAGCTGCTATGCAAGAGGTAAGAGATATACAAACAAAAGACCCTGTCTTCTCTGGAGAGCTGCTATGCAAAAAGGAAGATATATATACAAACAAAAGACCCTGTCTTCTCTGGATAGCTGCTATGCAAAAAGGAAGATATATATACAAACAAAAGACCCTGTCTTCTCTGGATAGCTGCTATGCAAAAGGTAAGATATATATACAAACAAAAGACCCTGTCTGCTCTGGATAGCTGCTATGCAAAAGGTAAGATATATATACAAACAAAAGACCCTGTCTGCTCTGGATAGCTGTTATGCAAAAGATAAGAGATATAAACAAACAAAAGACCCTGTCTGCTCTGGATAGCTGCTATGCAAAAGGTAAGATATATATACAAACAAAAGACCCTGTCTGCTCTGGATAGCTGCTATGCAAAATGTAAGATATATATACAAACAAAAGACCCTGTCTGCTCTGGATAGCTGCTATGCAAAAGGTAAGATATATATACAAACAAAAGACCCTGTCTGCTCTGGATAGCTACTATGCAAAAGGTAAGAGATATATACAAACAAACGACCCTGTCTGCTCTGGATAGCTACTATGCAAAAGGTAAGATATATATACAAACAAACGACCCTGTCTGCTCTGGATAGCTGCTATGCAAAAGGTAAGATATATATACAAACAAACGACCCTTTCTGCTCTGGATAGCTACTATGCAAAAAGTAAGATATATATACAAACAAAAGACCCTGTCTGCTCTGGATAGCTGCTATGCAAAAAGGAAGATATATATACAAACAAAAGACCCTGTCTGCTCTGGATAGCTGCTATGCAAAAGGTAAGATATATATACAAACAAAAGACCCTGTCTGCTCTGGATAGCTGTTATGCAAAAGATAAGAGATATAAACGAACAAAAGACCCTGTCTGCTCTGGATAGCTGTTATGCAAAAGATAAGAGATATAAACGAACAAAAGACCCTGTCTGCTCTGGATAGCTGTTATGCAAAAGATAAGAGATATAAACGAACAAAAGACCCTGTCTGCTCTGGATAGCTGTTATGCAAAAGATAAGAGATATAAACGAACAAAAGACCCTATCTGCTCTGGATAGCTGCTATGCAAAAGGTAAGAAATATATACAAACAAACGACCCTGTCTTCTCTGATAGCTGCTATGCAAAAGGTAAGATATATAAACAAACAAAAGACCCTGTCTGCTCTGGATAGCTGCTATGCAAAAGGTAAGAAATATATACAAACAAACGACCCTGTCTGCTCTGGATAGCTGCTATGCAAAAGGTAAGAAATATATACAAACAAACGACCCTGTCTTCTCTGATAGCTGCTATGCAAAAGGTAAGATATATAAACAAACAAAAGACCCTGTCTGCTCTGGATAGCTGCTATGCAAAAGGTAAGAAATATATACAAACAAAAGACCCTGTCTGCTCTGGATAGCTGCTATGCAAAAGGTAAGAAATATATACAAACAAACGACCCTGTCTTCTCTGATAGCTGCTATGCAAAAAGGAATATATATAAACAAACAAAAGACACTGTCTGCTCTGGATAGCTGCTATGCAAAAGGTAAGATATATATACAAACAAAAGACCCTGTCTGCTCTGGATAGCTGCTATGCAAAAGGTAAGATATATATACAAACAAAAGACCCTGTCTGCTCTGGATAGCTGCTATGCAAAAGGTAAGATATATAAACAAACAAAAGACCCTGTCTGCTCTGGATAGCTGCTATGCAAAAGGTAAGAAATATATACAAACAAAAGACCCTGTCTGCTCTGGATAGCTGCTATGCAAAAGGTAAGAAATATATACAAACAAACGACCCTGTCTTCTCTGATAGCTGCTATGCAAAAAGGAATATATATAAACAAACAAAAGACACTGTCTGCTCTGGATAGCTGCTATGCAAAAGGTAAGATATATATACAAACAAAAGACCCTGTCTGCTCTGGATAGCTACTGTGCAGAAAGTAATTATAGATGTTGCTTATTGAATATATCTTGCTTAAATCTTAAATGTACATTGTATATAAAAGGGGAACATTTTTTCTGTTTCTTATTCATGACATCACACCTCAAAGCTGAAATACCTAGAAACAGTACCCATAAACACAAGATTTGAATTCTTCCTCCAAATGGTAAATCACTTATTGACAGACAAAAATGATCATAAATATATATATTTGTTATCCCAAAGAGAAAAGTTCAACAGGGATATAGAAAAGCTGTCAGTCTGCTGATGCCTATAGACAAAAGAAGTATATTTAAGAAGAGATTTTTAAGGTGGCTGCTGAATTTAAATTGGCCACATTTTTCATCACCACTCTTTGATAATTCAAATACCAGTAGACGGATTTGGTTCACATTTTGGATGCTTATGCTCTATGATACAGGAGCTCTCAAGGGCAGCTGAATTTCAAAATGGCCACCATTTTGGGTAAAAACATAATCTTTGTTAACTGAAATGCCAGTGGATGAATTAAATGGTTCATAATTTATATGTTGATATCCAAGGCTAACTAAGGAGCTATGCTCAAGAAGAAATTGTCAAGATAGCCACTATTTGTCAGAACATGTTTTGTTTGGTGGGATTTGCTACTCCCTGGAGTTGCTGTTTTCTTGTTACATTTTATTTTCATTTACATGCATTTCCAGGCTGTGAAATTACTGTATGAAACAAGAGGAGTTAGTGCAACTACCCCTGTTACACCCTAGCCATTCTGACACCTGTCAATCACTAGTCAGGCTACACCCACCTATTGTGTGACATCGTAGGACAAACAAACAGCGAGGTACATTACAAAGGATAATATATGCCAAAAGGACCATACTTCTTGCATGAAATATGATATAACTTACACAAGAATGAAATTCAGAAATAACAGTAAGACATATATGGTATAACATAAAAACAGCTTTTTCACATGCACATTAAAAGTGAAAGCATTTTAAAGTGTGTGCAACTGCATATGAATTACAATCTATTGATCAACATACAATATGTAGGCTAAGTAATACTTGTATAATGTATACATACATATATGTTGATGTGTGTAGCTTTAGACATGTATTACATAGTGGCAGAATGCTTGACATTAATACACACATACCCTGTAAGTAGTCAATGTCCATTCATATCAGCCTGAAATAGTAAAAGTATACACCAATGCTCATTTGCAACAAAACTTTGCAGTATATTTAATTTTAGTAAAGCATTGAATAGAAAGTAAAGAAGGTGATGTCATTTTACAAATCACAGGCCACATTTTAAATGAGTTGCCTTTGCCTCCATTTCTGGTTGATAATAGTTGAACTTAATGTCCACATAAGTTCATAATTATTATAATATTTATATTGTATTCACTTGAGGGAGATTGGTGCAATTAATACATAAGCAAAACTATCTTGGTGGTCATGTGACCTTATTTGACCAATCACACTTTATCATTCATGGCAATGTGACCTTACTCGACCAATAATGCTTCATTATTCATGCTCATGTGACAACATTATTTGCACTGTTCTACAGCTGGATGACGCTAATTACAGGTAGTATCATTCAAGATGATTGTTTTTTGATAAAGCAACGATTTCAGCTAAACTAAGTTGAATCTTGATTCCAAATGTTTCATCATGCAAACTAATAAGGTAACAATTGTAAAGAGCCAGGAAAAAATGCTCGGCCACCCTTATTAATATAGTATTTTAAAGAAAACAGCATCACTTAGAGAATGTCTCGAACTGAAGTTGTTGATACACTTACTCAAAGATGGTATTCACCATTGATGACATTAACTCAGATGGCCATGCATGTATTCATCCCATAGATTTAGTGTCATCCATCGTTTCATTTAATGTCACTCCTACGTCATCATCAAGTTCAGTTAGAGTTATTCTAAGTGAAGCTGTTTCTATAAATCTCTCCGATATCGCTAGAAAACATTTTGATCCCTATGTTAGGAAACAGAATTAAGAGATCAAAATTATGTATCAGTATAAAGTAAAAAATTTCATTTTTTAAAAGTGTGATATCATAAAAGTTGTATATCCTAAGGCCGAAAAAATACTCATAATCTACATATTTACATTATTATTTGAATGATGCGAAAAATGAGGTGTCTTTGTTCAACAATGAGGTGTCTTTGTTCAACAATGAGGTGTCTTTGCTCAACATGAGGTGTCTTTTTCAACAATGGGGTGTCCAACTTTGAGGTGTCTTTGTTCAACTTTGAGGTGGCTTTGTTCAACTATGAATTGTCTTTGTTCAATTATGAGATGTCTTTGTTCAAGTATGAGGTGTCTTTGTTCAATTATGAGGTGTCTTCAACTTTGAGGTGTCCTTGTTCAACTATGAATTGTCTTTGTTCAATTATGAGATGTCTTTGTTCAAGTATGAGATGTCTTTGTTCAAGTATGAGGTGTCTTTGTTCAATTATGAGGTGTCTTTTCAACTTTGAGGTGTCCTTGTTCAACTATGAATTGTCTTTGTTCCATAAGAGATGTCTTTGTTCAACTATGAGATGTCTTTGTTCAACTATGAGATGTCTTTATTCAACTATGAGGTGTCTTTGTTCAAATATGAGATGTCTTTGTTTAACTTTGAGGTGTCTTTGTTCAACAATGAGGTGTCTTTGTTCAACAATGAGGTGTCTTTGTTCAACTATGAGATGTCTTTGTTCAACTATGAGATGTCTCTGTTCAACTATGAGGTGTCTTATCAACTTTGAAGTGTCTTTGTTCAACTATGAGATGTCTTTGTTCAACTATGAGATGTCTCTGTTCAACTATGAGGTGTCTTATCAACTTTGAAGTGTCTTTGTTCAACTATGAATTGTCTTTGTTCAACTATGAGATGTCTTTGTTTAACTTTGAGGTGTCTTTGTCCAACAATGAGGTGTCTTTGTTCAAGTATGAGGTGTCTTTGTTCAACTATGAGATGTCTTTGTTCAACTATGAGGTGTCCTGGTTCAACTATGAGGTGTCTTTGATCAAGTATGAGGTGTCTTTGTCCAACAATGAGGTGTCTTTGTTCAAGTATGAGGTGTCTTTGTTCAACTATGAGATGTCTTTGTTCAACTATGAGGTGTCCTGGTTCAACTATGAGGTGTCTTTGTTCAAGTATGAGATGTCTTTGTTCAAGTATGAGGTGTCTTTGTTCAACTATGAGATGTTTTTGTTCAACTATGAGATGTCTTTGTTCAAGTATGAGGTGTCTTTGTTCAAGTATGAGGTGTCTTTGTTCAATGATGAGATGTCTTTGTTCAACTATGAGGTGACTTTGTTCAACTATGAGATGTCTTTGTTCAAGTATGAGGTGTCCTTGTTCAATTATGAGATGTCTTTGTCCAACTATGAGGTGTCTTTGTTGTATAAAACTTGTCCAAGGGCATATCCAGGATGGAAGTCAGATTTGAATAGGTGAATAGGATTTTGGAGGACCTCATTACAGTTTAAAATACATTGGTTTAAAATATATATTTTTGTAAAATCCCAGCTTGGCTACCACATAGCTTGCTACTGTCAAATGATTGGCCACACAGAAATAAGAATTCAAAGAAAATATATTCACTGATTGTCAAGAAATCGATTTTGCAGTTGTGTTTGCCAACAAGAAGGAGATCATTAATGAAAAAGGGGGCCTCCTTATATATTAAAGTTATTAATGAAGGTTCCTTTGTATAACAAAGACAAAACCAGTTAACCGTGCCAACTATGTCTTGGATGCTATAATGAGAATGTATTACATTATCCCTAGGAAAACTACATATTAATACATGTACATGTACTTTTCTTGATTCAATGTGGCAGTGTCTACAATTAGCATGATATTACTATAACCCGGGTCTATAATAGGTGGGATCATTATAAGCCAGGCCTATAACAGATGGGATTATCATAACCCATGCCTATAACAGGTTGGATTATTATAATCCAGGCCTATAACATGTTAGATTACTATAACCCAGGTCTATAATAGGTGGGATCATTATAAGCCAGGCCTATAACAGATGGGGTTATCATAATCCATGCCTATAACAAGTAGGATTATTATAATCCAGGCCTTTAACATGTTGGATTACTATAACCCAGGTCTAGAACATGTGGGATTTTTATAAGCATAATAATCCAGGCCTATAACAGGTGAAATTATTATAATCCAGGCATATAACATGTTTGATTATTATTATCCAGGCCTATAACAGGTTGGATTATTATAATCCAGGCCTATAACAGGTGAGATTATTATAATCGAGGCCTATAACAGGTGGGATTATTATAATCCATGCCTATAACAGGTGGGATTTTTATAATCCAGTCCTATAATATGTGGATTTTTATAATCCAGTCCTATAACATGTGGATTATTGTAATCCAGGCCTATAACAGTTTGATTATTATAATCCAGGCCTATAACAGGTTGATTATTATAATCCAGTTCTATAACATGTGGATTATTATAATCCAGGCCTTTAACAGGTGGATTATTATAACCAAGTATCCAACAGGTAGGATTATTGTAATCCAGACCTATAACATGCGGATTGTTATAATCCAGGCCTATAACAGGTTGATTATTATAATCCAGGCCTATAACAGTTGGGAGTATTATAATCTAGGCCTATAACATGTTGATTGTTATAATCCAGCCCTATAACAGTTGGGATTATTATAATCCAAGCCTATAACATGTGGGATTATTATAACCCAGGCCTATAACAGGAGGGATTGTTATAATCCAGGCCTATAACAGGTTGGATTATTTACTGGTGGAGTATTGTGTTATTTCTTGAAGCATTGTTATGTATATACATATGTCACTTTATATCGATGTTAACAAATAATAAAAGAAATATGTAAGGTGTGGGATAGAACTGGAAGAATGAAATAATTTACACATTGATATGTAATGTACACTGTAATACATAATGATACATAGTGTGCACTACAATACACATTGTACCTGTAATATGCAATGGACTATGTACTATGTAGTGTGCACTATGATACACATTGAATTGAAATACTGTGATACACAGTGTCCACTACAATACACATTGTACCTGTAATACACAATGGTATGTACTATGCAGTGTACACTATGATACACATTGATATGTAATGTGCACTGTAATACACTATGATACATAGTGTACACTATAACACACATAAGTATATAATGAAAACTGAAATACAAAATGATGAATAGTGTACACTATAATACACATTGATATGTTTGTGTATACTGTAATACACTATGATACATAGTGTACACTATAACACACATAAATATATAATGAAGACTGAAATACAAAATGATGAATAGTGTACACTATAATACACATTGATATGTCAGTGTACACTATAATACACATTGATATGTCAGTGTTCACTGTAAAACACATTGATTTTTAATATACAATGTGATAAATATTGATATATCGGGTGTCCCAAAAAAATTGTACAAAATAGCCTAAGAGTACTATTAACCCTAGAAGCCCTAAGGTAAAAAAAGTTACACAAACATCTAAGGGGGGGGGTCAATAGGGCAACCCCTTGTAAAAATTTTACTAGTAGAGCTAGGATGTTCAAACTTTCCCCAAATATACTTCATTCAATTCTCTATAACTTGGTGTAATAACTTTAACAACCATGATGATGTAAGATTATGTAATTTTATTCTAAAGACAACACATATGGTAGAATTAGTGCTAGCTTTTTTCCGATTTTGTCAATTAGAGCTGATGATTACATCATAATAAATTAACAACAAACTAGTAAAGCTAGGATGTTCAAACTTTCCCAAAATATACTTCAGTTAATTCTCTACAACTTGGTGTAATAACATTAACAACCTCGATGATGATAAAGACAACAGTATTGTAAAAATAGTGCTAGCTTTTTCCGATTTTGTCTATTGGAGCTGATGATTACATCATAATAAATCAATTACCCTATGTGCGATTTTGCTGGTTTTTCAGAAAACATTTGTTATAGTTGTAGCTCCAGCTACTGAAAATTTGAAGATCCTACCAGATGCCAATAAAAAATTATTGGGAAAAAACTTAGGGCTTCTAGGGTTAATAAGTTGTAAAAGTATAAAAAAAGATCAAATAAGTATTCTCTTAGTATACATAAATTCAAAATAGCATGTCAAAAATTCCCATACCGGAGCTCTGGGATGAGACCTCTATAGTGTTTTTACCAGCTATCAAGTGATAGCATCTGTCAATCAGTCAAAATAGCTTGTCTGTGTGTCTTGTCCAATTAATTTGTTTCATTGTTCCCAAAAATCCAAAATCCATTCTTCTCAAAATTCATTGAAGGTGATATTTTAAGAATAGATACGGAAAAGTATTTTGCTTTGAAATGGATTAAAAAGTGACTTTTACATTGATATTGGTTATTTGACATACGGTCTTTAATTTAAAAATCAACACATAATATGAGACCAATCTCCTACATATTCATAGCACTGGCAGAAAATTCCCTAAAGTGGCCCAAGTAAAGTTTTTAAAGAATTTGGCTCATCTATTGCTCAGATATTACTTGTCAATTTGCTTCCATTTTTTCGGTACAAATGTAATGAAGTTCTCATTGCGTAAAATGCTCCGGTATGG